TCAGACAAAGGACTCTTATTTAGAACATATAAAGATTTTTTTAAAAATCAGGCCTCCAAAATTCAAAGAAAGACCCAATGCAAAAATGGACATCTGAGATGAACATACACTTCACAAATGAAGAAATACAAATGGCAAATAAATATATGAAAAATGTGCAACATCACTGGTCATTCAAGAGATGCAAATTAAAACAATGCTGTGATACCCTTTTACACCAGAAAGAAGGGCGGCTGCGATCAAGAAGTCAACCAATAAGAAATGCTGGCGAGGCTGTAGGGGAAAAAGGAACCCTTCTCCGCTGGTGGTAGGAGTGCAGCCTGGTACAGCCATTTTGGAAATCGGTGTGGAGATTCTTCAAAAAGCGAGGATTGGCGGTCCCAGTCAAGCCAGCTCTTCCCTGGAGGTCCCAGTCAAGCCAGCTCTTCCCTTCTTAGGTACGTTTCCGAAAGAACTGAGAGCATCATACTACAGCGATATATGTGCCGCCGTGTTTATAGCAGCGCAATTTGTTACAGCTAAATATTGGAAATAACTCAAATGCCTGTCACCTGAGGAATGCATAAAAAGATGATGTTATTTTACACAATGGAGTATTACTCAGCTATAAAAAAGGATACATTCAAGGCTTTTATAAGTAAATGGATATAACTAGAGGTGTATTAGTAAGTGAAATAAATCAGACCTGCATGTGCCAACATCATATTTTCTCACTCTGAAAGAGTAAATAAAATCTGAAAGGTACAAAGATACTGTGAAAGGGAAAGAATTCATTCAGTGAGAAGAAAAAACACAGTTGAGGAAAAGGACAAAAGAAAAGAAGGAAAGGGGGCCTGGCCTTAGCTCAGTTGTTTAAGTGGCTGCTTCCACAAAGCTGTCAGCCTCAGGTTGCTGGAGTTCGATCCCCACAACACTCCAGCCAGCCAAACCACCCCTGAGGGCATTCGGAGCAAAAAAAAACCCAAAAAACAAAACAAAAAAAAAACAACCCTTATTCCATTTTGGAGCTGGTGAGATGGC